ATTACTGCCTATGGTCTAACTGATCCAATTACACTACACTTAGGCATAGAGTAAGAAGAAACCTATTTTTTACTATTCTGGAAAATTTACTATGACCCTATTCTTAACTATATAAACTCAAAATACAACTCAAAACTCCTTAAAATTTCATCACAATCTCTATTAGAAACAATCTTCCCAACTACCCTATTTATTACAACAATACTACCTCTTGCCTTCATGAATGATACAGTATAGCACTGTGAATTCAAAAATGATCTCCAAAATATTCTGGATGACATATCTGAACTTTACCAACTAAATAACATACAAGTTAACTCATCTAAATCAGATCTTATTTATATTTTACTTAATAGAAAAATATTACTTAACACTACTCAAGATATAAATCCTCTAAACTTAATAATTAACCAATTCTACCTTGTAAATCTAATGATTCAATTAGATACTTAGATATTTTTTTAGACAGAAAAGGATCACTAAACCTATATTTAAAAAAATTTTTAGCAAGTTTCTTAATTCACTATATGATCCAATATAAAAAACTTCTTTCTATACAAATATCTTGACTATTTAATACTATTCTTGCACCATCAATCGAATATTTACTTCAAATCTGCTCTCTTTCACAAAACCAGTTTTAACAATTATCAAGTCTCTTAACAAAATGTACCAAACACATGCTTCATCTATCCACAAATACAAACTATGATATACTTACAAATTCACAATTATTTAACATTCCTACACTAAACAAACTAATTCTACAAGTTAGTAGTAGTAATATGAAAAGGTGCTTTAATACTAATGAACTTCTAAACCAAATTACTATATATCGAATTAAGTAATGGTTTTCCAAAATATGAAAACCATTTCTAACAAAGTTATAATTTTAAAAAATTACAGAAAAACTACTAATTTCATCATAATATTCTAACTTTATTATTTATATAAAAACAATATATCTCTTAACAACTTCTATCTAACTCAACTGTCAACTTATAAACAAACTAACCAACTAAACAATATTTACAACTTTATTCCACTTTTAAGTAATTCAACAACTTCAAGTCTTAAAAATAACAAAACCTTTTTTCTTGAACAACTCCTTAAAGCTGATAATCTAAATCTACCTCTTTGGAAAACCATATATTTAAGAACTCTCAAATCTTCACAAGACCCTATTTCAAGCTAGTTCAAAACACTCTCAAACCAAATATCCACCTTTTCTATAACATGCATATGGCCCAACATCCAACTTCTACTAATAAATCTATTTCCAAATACACTTAATTTAATCATATCTCAATCCAATAATATCAAAAATATATAGACAATTCACACCTCACCTTCAAACTGACACATAGGCAAAATAACAAACAAATCCAACTCATTACTACTCTTTCAAAACTACCAAATTATCAATTCAACATCCAACACAATTTGCATTTCTTCTATATTGACAATAATTTAAATCAATTATAAAAATACTATTAACTTAAAATACAAAACACAAAAAAAACAACATTTTGAGCTTAACATCAACAACCAAGAAATTCAAGTACTTTAAAATATTTACTTAGAGCTCTACAAACCAGTTCCCCAATCTTTACCCTCTTTTTCAATACCTTCCTTAGAAATTCTTTTAATACAAAACACTATACTCGATTCTATCTACCAAAACCAACTCATCGATCTTCATAAAAAAATCCTATTGCTAGAACCAACCAATCTAAACTTTTATACAAATGCTTCTATACTTAATTCACAAACAAATAACATCTTGACAGGCATCGCTTGGATCATTAAAAAGATATACAAATCAAATTTAATACTTCTATAACTTATACACCAAACTTAACATAAGTGAAATTAGCAGTATTCATTCTTCTATTTCTCATCCTACCTGCCAATTATCAAATTCATATACACTTAGACAGTTTATCTACTATTTAAACACTCTTCAATACACTACTCTACTACTACAAATCATAAACTAAAGAAAATAATTGGGATATTATACATATATTCAATTATTTAATAAAACTCAAAAACATTAATTACACTACATACAAAGTTAAATTATATTTAAAAAATACTTTATACAATATAACCAATTCTCTTACCAAACAAGGTGCCAACAAAACTAAATTAAAATTTAATCTTAATCACTTTTACCTACCTATTTATTTTACTTGGAAAAAAATTCCAATCATATACAAACTATATAAATTTTGTAAAAACCTAATTTCAATACAAACATTTAACAAACTTTTTCAATTCAAACTACTATGAAACCTTTCAACTATAAACATTCTATTATTAACTAAAATTATTAATTCCTAAAATTCCAATCTCAAACTATATTCTATTAAAAACAAAATACTTCTCAATAATTTATCTACAATGTCAAATCTTCATACTCACTATTCTTTTCTCTATTTAACTCCAAATTGCTCATATTGCAATCAACATGAAAGTACTGAACACTTATTCCAATGCTCACTTTATTCTTACAATTCACAAAACACTCTTACTAATGAAATCTCAAATACTTTAAACTCTCTAAACATTACAAAAACCTCATTCAATATAATAATACAAATTCTTATTACACAAAACACTTCTCTTAATCTAAATATATATAATACAATACTATTACTCATTCAGAGTACAATAACCCTTAATCAATACAACCAACTTCAACTTATTCTAAAAAAACTAACTAACAATTTTCTTATTTCTTTATCTAACTCATTACTTACTTGGTTTAACTCTACTATTTGGCAAACTCATAACACTAAACAACATAAATAAAAATTATTATGAGGAATTACATCTTCTACTAAAAAGAAAAACAATATTAGATTATCTACTTTTTAATTTACAAATTCTAACAATATTACTTTGACTTTCAACACTGATATAGATCCTTTTAATGATAAAACTCTTACTTAAAACTTCACTATACATACTTGTTTTTACTAATTAAATAATTTTAAGGGTTTCTTTTACCCTCTCTGTAGTTAAGTTCATGTTAATTAACTCAACTAAAAACAGAAAACTAAAGGATAATATCACACTAGATGATGTGGTATATAACAACAATAGTGTAGTTTAGGAATAATATTTTAGTTATATATCCATATCCAATTGATATATAAATGTATCTTATTTTTCCTACTTGATAATATACAAATAAAAAAAAAAAATTTGATTCCTATTAAAAAATCAAAAAATAAATTTAATTAATCAATTAATAGTTTTATGCATTAAAAAAATTAGTTAAACAAAATATTAAAGATGATATAATACTTATTTATGTTTATACAATAACAATAATAATAAAAGATTTTGATTTAACTAAGCCTAATAGCCATACATTTTAGTTGAAAATGTCAATTTATTTTAATTAAATTTACAATCAAACTAGTTTAATTTATCTAATACTTCTATAAAAAAACAATTAAGTAAAAGAAACTAATTGTTTTATTTTACAATATTCTATTATAATAATATTTTTTTAGTATAAGAATATATAATTTTTATCTAAATGTTTTATGTTCTAATAATTTTTTATCATGTTTTATTTTATTATTAATTGCACTTATAGCAGTGCAGCTATGTTATCTATAAATACATTAATAAGTAATAGAAAGGAAACACATAAATTAATTAAAACTTCTGCAATAATAATAGATTTTTGAAATTAAATTTATTTAAGTAAATATCTATTAATTTACAAAAATTATTTTTTACTATATCATAATATTAACACTAAAACTTTTTAAAAAACCAATTCAAATTTACATAGTTGACATGATTTTAAACAAAAAAATAAAACTTTTTTTTTTTTTTTTAAATGTTAAGGTGAGTACATGCAACCCAGAATTTTACTAATAGTATAAATTGGCCAGCGCCTATACATATACAGATGCAGAGGCAATTACAGAAAGAGTGTACAACTAGCCACTTGTACAACTTTAGTCATTGTCTAATTTAAGTAGTCCGTCTGAAGGTTCTATACTAGTTGCTATACCTAGAATCTACCTGTAGATACTCTATTTAAACACTCTGATCCTGCATTCATCACACCCTACTAGTGACTCTGGTAAACTGGTGAAGATATGCCATGGTCACTAAGTTATGTTTAACTTTGTACTAAACCTACCAGTGTGTTCTGTATCCCATACTTACAGCTTACCTGGTCATGCTTTGGCCTAAACTATCACTTGCAGTTAGGGCTAACCATTAAATCGCTTTTACCCTTGTAAGGTTCACCTAAAACCCTGGTACCAATCTTTCCAACATCCTCTCTATTATCCCCTACTAACCACTACTCAGAACTGACAGGACTCTCTGGACTTCCAATCCAGATGGCCTGATATAGTATACCTTAGTATTCTTTTTTTCGATGATTTTGGAGGCCTGGTTGGTCATATGCTCTTCTACACATCTTGCCATCTGGTTTATCCACCTATCCCTTTGGGGGTGTTTCATGGGCTTCCATCAGTCTGACAGCACTGTCAAAAGTTTTGTGCTACCTTCTTACTCAGGATTTCCAACTCTTCAGTTCCTTTGCTTTCTGTGCCCAGTGGTCTTATCATGGGTTTGCACCAAAGTTTTATGCAACACCAGTTATTAACATTTCTCTATATAGGAGTAATGTTACATTTAGCATAGATGCTCTGAGCTCCTATTTGAGATGGTATAACAAAGGTTATAGATACACCAATCCAACTAATCAACAGAGACAGTTATCATAATACAAACATATTTTCCAAAATTTGTCATCTATAGGATTTGAACTCTAGATCTGCCACTTGGGGGTTGGCAACCTGACCACTTCACTAGGTTGTCACACCTCAAAAAAATAAAACTTAATTATATTATATATTGTAAATAATATATATAAAGTAATATTTTTTTCACTAAAGTTAGCTTTTAAATTACATTATTTTTATGATATTGTTTTATTATATTTTTTTTAAAGTTTGATTATGCCAAAGTTGAAATGTAAAAATGCAGCAAAAAAACAAAGTAGAGATAATAAAGAAAGGTTTTCAAAAACTATAGATGCAAAAAGTAATGTTTCAGAATATAGAATTTCAAAACTTTTAATTTATAAATTAGAAAACAATAAAAAAGAACTTAATAATAAAATAGAACCTAATAAAGAAGAATCTAAATGGTTAATTAATGAAGATAATTCTTTTTATAATTTAAAGTAAAATAATAATGCAGCTAATAATTAGTTACTATATTATTTTAATAGTTTAAAATATATTCAGCAATATAAAAATAAAGAGTTATAAAAGGCAATACAAGAGTTAATAAGTTTGAATAATTTTTTTAAACTAAAAAAAATTAAATATTAAGTATAAAATATTAGACTCAGATACAAGCAATTTTAATATAATAAATAATAGTTTAAATTAAATAACATACTTAATAATATAAAGTATATGAATGCTTATGAATACCTTTATTATCTAGCTGTTTATAAATATCTTATCAAAATTTTTAACTATGAATAGCCATAATCTCATATAGAATTAAGTCTTAAAATATCACAACAAATCTTCTAACATGGTCTGTAGATAGCATGTCATATTCATAAATAGTTAAAAAGTTGGATAGTATTAGAGACCATACCTGCCTCTAGACAAGGACAACAAAAGTACATATCAATACTTATTGATAACAAAGATATACAAAGCTCTTACTTATATTTTATCCAAATTATTGATGAAAAGATAACTGCTAAAAAATTTCAAATTTATATTAAGAACAATATTTTATCTATATTACTAACTTTCATATATTAATTTCTTTAGAAATAGCTCAAACTTGGCTTTATTGTTTTGGTCTTATATATTAATCATATTAACAAAAAGTTTATTATAATAAACATGAGCATCTTGATGTTGTACAATATCATGCTGTATTTTTTAAAAGAATAAAAAATTTTGAACAATTAATACTACAATTTGTTGCCAAAAATATGAAAATAGTTATAAATTCTGAATTAAGTAAAGGAGAAAAAATGCATATTTTTGTTATTTATGATAAATATACATTCTATAATAAAGATGATTATTCTTTAGTATAGGCTTTTCTTGGTATGCTACTATTATGCAAAAAGAGAATAGATGAAGTATTTATAATTTCAAAATTTTTAACTAAAACTTGTAGTTGTCTTATAATTACTTCTGTAAAAATAAATAAATTAAACCTATCATCAATATTTCTACAAAAGGCTTTCAAAATTATCAAACTAAAAAAAATATAATAATGATTAGTAAAATGCTTCAGATTTGCTTACATAAATAGCTAATAAAGTAATTCTTATTTTTAAAGCAATTTATTCAAACTGCATTGGTGTTTTTACATTTAATAACAGTACCAATTATAGTGCTTTTGCAAGTAATGCATTATATGCTAAAAAAATGAATCTTTAGCTTAATAGTAAACAGTTAAGATTACATGATAGCTAGTTTATTAATACACAAGGTAAATAAGTTACTCAGTTAATGATTTTTTCTAAAGACCTTCCTTCTGATAATTCTAATTATGTCTTTTGCAAACAACCAAAAGGAATTTGTTAAGTACTTCTTGAACACAATTTATAATTTATTATTAGTTTAAGACTAAAGTGTAAAAATAATATTATAATTCAAATATACCTAATTGTTGTGTATGTTATTTGCACAACCTGCTTTTACTATACAGAAATTAGTATTAGAAAAACTTATTGTTAAATAAAAACATATTTGTATATTTTATCCCAACTTTCTTGTGAACTAAATTTTATTAAGTTATACTAGGCACTGCCAAATGGTATTTATGTGATTATTGCACTTATTCATAAGTACATTTACAAGTTGCTATATCTAAAGCACTTAACACTGTATTATTTATAACTATATATTATATTTTGCACAAAAAACATGGCATTATATGAATGCTTAAAATATAAACTTACTGGCTAAATCACAGAATATGCTATGTATAAGTATTATTCTTATAGATGCATTCTGAATGAAATTAATTTAGATTTAGATTAAATGCTAAATAGTATAAATTAAAAAATAAAAATTATACACAGAAGACCAGGTTAATGACAGTCAGATTCAATGTACTAGGAAGACTACAGTATTTTTTGCAGCTGTGCAAGCTGAGTTTAAAATGGTGAGCAACCTTGTAGAAACATCTTATTACTTCTTGGATTCCAATTTTTTATCTAACACCAAGGACCTTCTCTGCTATAATACCTTTCTAATTAATCATAATCTCCCAACCTTACTACCTAAACAAACACTACTATCTTTTATCTAATATCTAAAAAATAACTCTTTTAACAAACCTTTTAAATCTTTATTAATAATACACTTACTGAAACATATATCTATAAAAATCCAAAATATAAACTTCTACCTAATTACATATTTCTTTCAAGTTCATACTATTAACTATACAATAACCTACCTATTAAATCACATTCCAGATACTCAACTTCTCATACTATTTCAGATAGTATTTTCTTTAATACACATAATAATAATAATTCAAATCTTATTATTCCAAATTTACATAACTCTAACTCTATAACTACTAATAATATACCTCTTCTGCAAACAACTCTCTTACCTATTATCTTAATTCCTATAAAAATTGGTTTTCTAAACATTAATAGTCTACTTTAATACTCAAAAAAACTCTCACTTATTAATATAATTAATCAATATAATTTTGATATTTTTGGATTATCAGAAACACACCTAACTTTTAAAGAAAGAAAATATATTAACAAAGACCTTCAAAACTATAATAGCTTCTGGAGTTCTTATAAAAATTCTTATCAAGTAGATGTTAGAATTTTTATATATAATAGAATCTTCAAATATATAGCTAGAACATACAACTATAATGGGCATATAATTGGTCTCAATTTATATTTCAAATACAATTCTATTTATATTCTTCAAATTTACCTTCCAATAGCATAGAAAAAACAATTATGTTCTGGAATCCAAGAACAAATCATCTAACTTTGTAAAAACTTCAACTATCAACTAATAATACTTGATAATTTTAATAGTGTTTCTAATCCATGTTTGAATAGAAATTCTCCTAAAAACACCTTCATTCTAGAATCTCAAATTCTTAAATATCTAATTAGTCATTAATTCAAAAATATATATTGACATTTTTTTTCCTCTAACTCAAAACTTTATTTGCTCAATCTCAAACAGTAGAATTGACCAAATATGTACAAATCTAAGCATATCTCAAATTGACAATATTGATATTCTTGAGAATATCTTATCTGAATCTGATTACAAAATTATTATTTTTTTTTTAAATATTAATGGTGAGGCCATGCCTTTAATTTTATTGAAATTCAATTGAAGTTTTTATAAAGAAAAGCTTGCTTTTTAAATTACATATGAAGAATAAAGACTTAAACATATAATCTGTGACCTAAACCTACAAGAGTG